GGGGGGGGGGGGAGAGGGTGAAGGAAGAGTCAGTTCTGTATTTTTTTCATTCAACAGTACATTTTACATGAGTGATATTTTAAACCTGTAAGAGCTTAGTTGTATGTATGGCACACAATTGGTGTATGGATCCTATATTCACTGGTCTTCTCACAACCCAAATAACAGTACCGTGCAACTGTCCTTCCTGACGGCAATTCCTTTCTGTATTCTTGTATTCTACAAATTCTTTTAAAATACAATGGTGCTCTCCTTCCCGTCCTCCAAGAGAAACCAAGGATCGAACCAATCAATCAGCTTTTTCCTCCTAGTAGAGCTAATGAATTATTTAGCCAATATTGTTAAAAATATACCTGAAGGCTGAAAGTTTTAACATCTGAATTTAACACAAAGAGTTTTGACTTAGTATCACTATGCAGAAGACTCCTAAGCCTAGTGAAGGTAAATAACCATACCCTTTTATCTCTCTTCTGTTACCCCAGCAGCTCAAAGATTTAAGAGTTTTCAATCTTTAATATATAAGAAACTATAGGTTCATTTCCTATTTGGCCATGAATGGGAAACCAACACATTGCCAGTCTTCCGAGTTACTTTTACTTTCACTGTAATATTTTAAATGGTCATTCTGGCATAGAATAACAGTGGATTATGCCTAAATACTTTCACTTCTGATGTTAGTGCATAAAAGCACATGTAAGATGGTTTGTCCCTAATTGCCCATCATTTTCCCTTATTTATTTTGTCAAAGCATTCATAAAAGAAATGGAAAATATTTTTTTCCAAAGTCAGTGCTTGATCTGACCTGAAATATTGTATACATTACTCTTTGTCCCTCAAGTGAAACAGCTATTAACTTGCAAATTCCTAGCTTGTTCTTTAAAAGTCAAAACTTGGTACTGCGATAATGCACCAAGATCCTGACTTCTGCATTTAAGTGTTCCATCTACCACTTCCCTTTTTGTAAGCAGGTTCTTAAGCTTTCTGTCTGATTGAAATTCTACCACAAAACGGAAACCTCCCTAACACAAACACAGCTGTTCTACAGCAAGAGTCCCAGGAAACTTAATCCCCATCGTGCAGGCTGCAGCACACGCAGATTGACACCAGGATTCCTCCCTCCCTCCCCAGGAATACCAGGCTCCTCTTGTCAAAATGCATTCCTCTCCCAGAAGGCAGAGCGAGTGACATACAGAGGCTACTCTACTAGTTTGGAAGGCAGAGGCAAAACCAAGGGTAAACAATAAGAAAGCAAGTTTTACAGATCCAGTTTTACAGATAATGTAGTAATGCTTTAACATACCAATGTTGGTATTATTCAGAGTAAGAAAATTATCATGGTATCAAGTTACCTTACTTATCACAGTACATTTACATTTCTAAAGGCAGAAATGAAGGCTGAGGTCCAGACAGACAGGCATGGATTTTTGCAAAACATCCAATTTTTTGTCCCAGAGCAGAACTTTCTACTTATTATCTGCCTGTTAACTTTATATTACAGATGGACTGTCTTCAGTTTGAACTATACTTTCAGACAACACTTTTGACAGGCTATCCATTCTCCTGAGTAAATCTGAAAGTACTGTCTGACAGCACATAGGAACACCGATTATAGCAAATTTCTCACTGATTATATTGCATGGATGAGTATTTTACTACTATGAGATAAAAAAATGAAATTTCATATTTAGGCTTTTAAGCTGAGCTGTTTTGTCCTCAAACAAACTAAATGCTATGTTACATGTGCTTTTATCAGTGTGCTAGAAACTGACCACAGGACCAAAGGAAGACTAGGCAGAGAAGTCCTATTAACATCAACCACTATTTCTGAAATGAGTTAATCTTTATTAGTATAAAAAGGTACTAGAACAAAAATTACTTCTTCTTTGACTGAGATTTAAACTGATACACAAACCCATTTTCACAGGATCCTGATCACACACACAGATTTTGCTTGCCTAAGCTCTGAAACAGTGCTAAGAGCAACATCTGTCTGGGGGTAGCCAGTTCTTTTAGTCTAGCAGGCTTTCAATATGAAACAGCTCCAGGCCAAAGGCTGTCTAATGATACTAGGATGACACTGCTATATTATCATATATGAACTATTATCTCACTGACTCCCATTGAGAGCTGACTGAAATTAACTCACTAAGGGCACAATGAGAAGACCTCAGTTTAGTTAGTATAGCCTATAAAGAAGCAAGATGTTACTTTCGCAATGCTTGTGAGAAAGCACTGGAAGAGTTTACAGATAAATTTATTCTGAACGATATACAATATTATTACATTGATGTGTGACAAAATGGTTGATCACCTAATCCAATTAAACCTTTGCTATATTTTTAATTAGATGACAAAAAAGCTAAACCATAAAATTAAACTGAAACGGTTCTGAACTTACTGAGGCATAATTTTACGATTTAAATACATCAATCAAGTAAACCTTACGTATTTCAGGAACAGCTAATTATTTTCCTTTAAAAATAAGATGATGACGCATTAATGAGACTTCTCCAAAAAAGCTTTACAGCATCTAACACACTGCTCGTAAACAGTTTCAAAGTCCTTTTCATTACCCTAGAAAAGAACAAAGGAAAAAGAATATGACTAGCAATACTAGCTCAAACAAAGAATTTTTGTAAACTAGTTTCCCGCTGTCAGTAATGGCAAATAACTGACATAAGTCAGTTGATAGTTTTTGCATATTTCCCCCTAATTTGAACTACCTGCAGCTCAAGAATTTCCACAGCCAAACACTGTGATTTTGTACTCAGTCCAGAATGAATTTTCCTTCATGTAATTTCTTCCATACACTTTTTGAACTCTTCTATGCCTTTTCATTTTTTCTTTATATACGCAGTAACCTGTTGAGTTTCAGTTTAATCAAGCACTATGCGGGAAAAAAAAACAACAAACCCTCTTTTTGTTTTGAACCCACGTCCCACTACCCACTAATGCCATTTGATATTCTCTGCTTCTTGGTTAATTATTCAGCTTTTCCCATGACATAAAAATTTTATAGAACTCTACTGCATCTTCATCCACTGCTCTTTCCTAAATTGATGAATCTTAACCTAATTGGTTGATCTTGGCTGATACTATTCTACTTCTTTGTTCATCTGTGTCCATGTTTTTGTCTCTATCTTTCCTGATTGCATCCTCTTTGCAAGGAGGCTGATCAACCACAGCTTCACCCAATATTGAAAATATATAAGCATTCTATTATTTAAATTTCAATAATTCTTATAAGCATAAAGACATGTTTTCCTTTCCTATCCCAATAATTTATATTCTTTTGTTAAGTCATTTTAAAAAATATGTTTACACTTCTCTTTGTATAACATCAGATTATATGTCAACAGATGTCAACTGTGGGATCTGGAAAGATTATATACACCACACACACACAATTTTTAATCAAGCTACCCAAAGAATTTCTTACACATACATAGTATGGATCTTCAATGATAAGTTGTTTCTGTGGATCGTAACTTCCAAGTAGTTCAATTTTGGCCTTGCAGTCTTTAATTTGGTTACTCTTCCTCTTCAGATCTCTGTAACAGAAAAAATGAATTTTTCTCATTAATTTTTCTTCCAAACTTTTTTGGCACCAACATGAGATGCTCATGAGTGTTTCTAGAGAACACAGGAAAGTAATACGCATCTGGACTCAGCTAATTCTGTGGACTCTATGCTGCTGCTTGGGTTTTTTTTGTTTCTTGTTGTGTGTGGGTTTTTTAAACTGAGTATGGAGGGCATATACGTGAACTTAATTCAGAGTATAAAAAAAGCAGTCAGGCACTCAAACTAAGGCTTAACAGAACTTTGTAACAGTAAATTAATCAACTCCTTCCCTCAAATCAATCATTAGTAACTTCAATATCCACCTTTAGCTTGTATTGAACAAAAATAACAGAAATTATTTTTATTTTTCCAGAATTTTGAGTGAGCTTCTCCCATCCATTCAAAATAAGTGTTTTATATTGGTATGCTGCAAGTTCTCTCAATACTACTTCTAGCTCATGTGAACTCCTACCACATTCAGTTAATAGAAAATGGTAGATTGGTGAGCAACACCTGCCTTCCCTTCGACATACTATGACATTTCATCAGTTGTAACATCCTCTTTCTTCTATATTGCCTCATATTAATAAAACATACTAGTTTTGAAATGGTATTTTCCCCACCTACTTACAAACGTCCATCCATTAGGCCAAATGTAGTTAAATTGTACCTCTCATCTTCAGATTAAAAGCAGCTTGTTACTATGATTTTCACAATGCTGAACACACAAAACATATTAAATTCTTTTAATATTACAAATCACTACACCAGATCATCACTTTACTTACCCAACATTAAAAGAAAGGCAAAAAACCCTGTAAATCCTTACATAAGCATAATCAATTTTAAGAAATTAAATTCTAATTATTAATTAATTCTGATTAAGAAATTAATTTCAGATAGTTTAAAAATAGCGGTAAGACCACAATGCTGGTTTTCCTTGAAGAAAAATCAGGATTCCTCTATCATCTGAGAAGTTATTGCTTGAATTTCCAAATTTTCAATAAATTCTCTAGCCTTCTATTATTAAAAAAATGCCTAAACGTTTCCTTCAAGGTTTTTGGCATACCACTTAATGAACAGGAGAGGGCCAGGGGGCTCTGGTACTAAGGAAAAGGGATGTCCCAAATCTTCCTTTTCTGATATGACAGGCACTCTTATCAACACCTGGAATCAGCTTGCCCTCCTAGTGCTATGAATAGGCATTCCCAGGCAAAATGGTTGAACTGGGTGCAAGTTTAAGGTGAAACTTAAATGTAGCAGTAGCAGTATCCCTATTACAGTTGTGATGTTTCTTCTGCTCTACAGCTCATATCATATAAATTGTTAATACAGAAGTTTCCATTTAAGAACTCAAGTTAAAATAGAAGCCTAGTCACGTCTTTGCCTGACACATTGTAATTAAGCTAAGTGTTCTATACCCTTCATTCATGAAGGCTGTTTTAAGAGGTCATTCAACACATTCTAGAAAATTCAACAAAATGATACCTATTTCAGCTACATAGTACCACTTTTAAAAGTCTTTACATGCTACTAATAGGTTTTTTGGGGGGGTCTGTTTTGTTGTCAGTTGTGGCGTTTTGGGGTTTTTATTGTTTTTAAACTAACTTTACAAGTCAGTCTTTACAAGCACTTTGACACTTTCAGTTTACTAAAGCTCAGCCCTTTAACCCCAATTATGAATATGTATGTAATTAAGTAAAATTGTTGCTAATGATATCCAAATTTTTACACTAGGCAGCTACTTCACCAAATCTTTCTAAAGCATGAATTGTCTTAAAATACACACTTAATTAGATTTCCCCCAGCTAACAACATTACTTATTTCAGAGCTCACTCTATTACTATTAAAAAAGAAAAAAGAAAAAACCCACACCATATTTAATCCCTTCCAAGTTTCCACAGCGTCTTTCAGATCCCATGCAATTAGAAAAACTTCGATCAAGACAGTACGTCCTTATTCTTAACTATACAGGTATCAGCTGCACATCTATAGCACAAAGCACACAAAATTTCCATGTCCTTAATCCTTGAGCAGCATGTAACACTAATAAACCATTGACTTCTATCTCATTAAACCTATCAGAAGTGAAGAATCCATCTATTGGGATACCATTCACACACACATACAAAAAAAAAAAACAAAAACAATAACCCCCAAACCAAAAAAAACCACCAAGACAAACTAAGCAGTAAAACATTGTATCTGTCCTCAGCATGACATATGAGACATCACTGCAGGTAATCCATGTGAATTTGTTCCATTTTTCATACGTTACCTTAGATTGCTCTCATCCATACAAAGTATATAATCAAAGGTCTGGAAATCATCTTTAGTAACCTAGAATTAAAAATATGTGCTTTAGTCTACAAACTGTGTCTGATTTATAAAAAGGAGGAAGAAAGTATTTTCAAATTTCCTAGTTCTGTATTAAAAGAGACACAGGTGGAAATAAAACTGTGTACCTTCATCAACTTTTACAAGAAGTTAAGGCATTTTAATATACTATGACATGACTTATCCATTTCTTCAAGTTTTCCACAAAAAAACAAGTTAGCTATTTTAACAATACCTTTTTTTTTTTTTTAAACTATCTCATGCATCAACTTAGAACAAGTGATATTTGTAACACTATCCAATTACTAAAACTAAAGCAGGTTTCCAGATGTGGAAACCATGCAATAAAAATGTAGACAAATGAATTTATTGATAGGAAAACAAAGTTAGGTAACCTGGAATCAGCTGCGATACTTCCAATCTAGAAATTTTTCATTACCAGAAAAAGATACCAGGTGAAATTCAAAGCTGAAGTATGATGTCATGAGTTACAACCTCCTAAAAACAAATGTATTCACAGTATTTTAGGCCATGTAAATTCATAAAATTTGTGGTCTGATGTGAAAAAATTTGGAATCTATTATGTATCTTCCTACCATCATACCATCTGTTCTTTTTCTTCTGTAGCTTACTGGCTCCTAAACATAAATATTAACTAAATTCCAAGATCCAAGTTCAGAGTCAGGCAGGCAAGTATTGCAGATAAAAATACTAACTTAAGTACTAACGTTATCTCAATTGGAATAAGGATAGCTGCAGATTTTTACCAGTATAATTATATTTTAGTTCACATTTAAGCCTTAGTTTGGGGTAAAATCTTCTCAGATCATGCTCACAATGCACAGTATGCTAGTATAAGATAATCTGAACCAAGTGTCTGTAATGAGGATGAATATATGGAATAAAATCTACAGTGCGTTCACATTAAGACTGCATTACATGCATAGTGCTATGTTTAGTATCATAACCAAGAAACTCGGGGAGTTTGTTCAGTAGAGGTTTTTCTGGCAGGTGTCTCTGGGAAGGATGGGCTAGAAAAGTGAGTAAGCAAGCAAACAGACAAAAAGGCAAAACAAACTATCCTCTAAGTCAGAGTTTTAACTTGTAAAAATTTACATATTTTAAAAAAGTTTTAGATTTAAAAAGAAATTTATTTTTTGACAAAATGCAAATAGATACTGATTAAGCTCCCATAACAAGGAGTAGGAAAAGACATACAGAAATGATCACCAGACTAAATCCATAAATGAAACACAAGGAGAATTAAAAGGGGGGGGGGGGGGG